TGAAGAAATAATAGGACAAGTGCATAATAAGATCAAGCATGTACAAGCTAAATAATCCCTACGTGGAACCAATGTTGTTTTGTACATTACTATGCTGACTGGCTAGACATGGTGATAACATAACAATGATAATGCAGGAACGCTAAAAATTCAAGCAAGAAAAAACGCTGGACTCGACTCACTAGCATGTGACTGCACTGCATAAATTACAAATAAAAACAAACTAAAAAATAAAGTCACGTCATTCACACTGATCAGGTAGGATTTGGGCAGGCAGGCAGGCAGGGATTGGAAAGCACACGAAAAGTACTGAGCATAATGCACAGCTACAAAACGTCATGGAAGGGAGGCTTGCTGATATCCTTAGATGCGGGAAAGGCCTTTGCCCACCTACTTCTCTGAGGCGGTATTGCTCAAATTTGGAATACCTGACGGGTTCCTGTCAGCGGTGAAGGCCTTATGTAGCAAGCCCACGGCGCATGTGCTCAATGCAGGGCTCCTGTCTGACCCCCTTTGTGATCACAAATGGGACGAGGCAGGGTTGACCACTCTCCCCTCTGTTGTATGTTTTGGCATTAGAACCCTTGCCGCAGACCATTAGAGACTATGCACTACGGTAGGTCGAAGGGAATGCAAAGCAAATCTAGTCACGGGTGATATTCTGCTCACCCTCACACAGCCACAGGTCTCCCTCCCCATCCCTAATGAAAGTAATAGGAGGACTATGGCACTCATTCCTACTATAAACTCAATGTAGCCAAGACCCAGGCCCTAGGCATAGGGATTCCAGACAATATGATGCATACTCTACAGGCCTCTTTCTCATTCAATCGGAGATCTAACTACATCACTTTTTTAGGACTCAACCTCATGAAAAACCTAGCCGAACTAATTCTTAACTTGGCTTGGCAGACTAGCAGCAGTGAAAATATCCGTCCTCCCTAAATTCCAATACCTAATCAGAATGCTGCAAATATTTGTCTCCAAAACTTACTTAGAAAAGCTCCAGACCTGCTAACCCGGTTTATCTAGAACAACCGCAGGATCCATGTAGCTAAAAAACTCCTGCATAAACCCCTAGAACACAGCGGACTTGGACTGCCTAATGTTAAAAATTACTACAGGGCCGCCCTACTGTCCACCGTGATAACCTCTCATGCTACGATTAACCCCCCCGCAATGGATTGAAATTGAGTCGCAATGGTCTTGCCCCAAGGGCCTGAAACATCTTTTCTGGATACCCAAACATAAATGCCCGAACATGCCATCTATATTACATACTACAGATTTACTCCTCCACATATGGGACAGACTCAAAAAACAGTTGGGTTGGGAACATATATGGGGTCACGCTACTCCTATATCTTGATTACATACTGTCAACCCATCCTTTGATTACAGGCCTTGGCAGATAGGAGGCTGCACCTCCATTGGCCAGCTGTTTGAAGGAAATGGTATGATGCAATTCCCAGATCTTCAACATAAATTCAACTTACCAATGAGGGCAGTGTTCTCCTACCTCCAACTGAAAGAATTACTCATGCACAATCCCCCGCGTACACAAACACCGATCATGACCTTTTTTTGAAAGAGCATTCCTAGCCCCTGCCAATATATATCGCGTCCTGACAGACCTGGCAGCACACACTTATGAAAAAGTTTATGTTGGACTGGCAATGCGACTTAGATAAGACATTTGACATGAATGTCTGGAAAAAAGCAATGATAGTCCACAAGAGAAGGTCAAGCTCTGTGTCACACCTAGAACTTATGAGAAAAATTCAGTATAGCGGGTATATGGTGCCAGAAACATTAGCACATCTGAAATATTTTGGAGCTGCTTACAACATGTGGGGACGATGTAATACATATGGTGGACATGTCCCAAGATGGAGGGATACTGGCGCATAGTCGGAGACATAATATCCGACACTTTGGGGGAAGATATCGCGCTCGCTCCTGACCTGTGTTTACTATTTATCTCACTAGACAATTTTCCATGCCTGGCCTCTACTTTACTTTTCCACATTCTTATGGCAGCAAATTTGCTGATAGCCAGGGCATGGAAAACTACAGAAGTGCCAGCAGGCTCTGCCCTTTTAGCTCAGATTTCCTTAAATCTGGACTACGAATCCATGGCCCAAAAACATATTAATCCAAAAAAACATGCACAGGCAGCTGATGCCATATGGGACACATACATTGCAGCCCATACAAACACACATAACATCCATACCCCATGAGCATTCAGATGGCAAGGGGAGGAGGGGAACAAGCGATAGCTCATGAACACATCTTAATTCCACTATTTTGTTTTTAAAAAATATATAAAAAAAATATAAAAACAAATTAACTAGTATAGCAGCTTCACCACTATAGGCAGAGGAGTAGGAGAGCGGGGCAATGAGAGGATAATGGCGACTGGTATCTGGGCTGGGCTCGATTTTCCTGACTCAGGATTCATAAGTAGCAGCACTACAAGAGCGACAATGGCAAACACAGGAGGCACTGGGCACTATGGACCTTTACCATAAGGGATGAGTCTATCATACGAGAGACAGGTGATATAAACCCACATTGTAAGTAGTTTAATCCTCCCCCTTTTTTGTTTCCCTCCTTCTCCACTCTCCCTTTACCTTTTTCCCCCTCTTAAAAAAAAAAAAAAAAAAGGGTCACAGTGGTTTGGCAGTCTTACAGAACTAGCAAGGGTAACTTACAACTACTAGCACACTCATTACCGAATTGGGGACACGGAGGCATTCATTTGTAAAAAAAAAAAAAGGCACTATCTGACTACCTAGTAGTCTAGACATCTAGTACTGATAAGAGCTGTCTTATTCCCGGGATAAGTAGCTACCATCAGGAGCCTATTTAGCTTGCCGCCTATCTGCCTTTACGTAGCAACATGTTGAGAAAGGACCTCCTAGGCAAGGCACAATACGGGTATAAACGGGTCGTTAGGGCTGGGACTTAGTTTTCACCGGGGGTATGTACCTTCTACATTGACATGTCAATACACACGTGGCAAATAGGCCTAAGACGATACCTAGTCTACCTCAAATGTTTGAAGCATTGTATAGCATCCATGTATGTATTAATTGCTTAAAGATGTTTGAATATGACTACTCTCTTTCTTTTTGTACCCAACTGCCTTTTCACTGACTCAATAAAAATTGTCAAATTGAAAAAAAATAAAGTCACTGCGGTTAGAAAGGAGCTAACATATGCATTAACCAAAAATGTTAGAGCATTATGACATCAGGCTTATAAGAGCTCATAAGGCCACGGGAGTTGACCATGTAGGAAAGTCCCATATGATGAGCTATGCTTGTGTCCTTGGTAGTAAGTGATTCTCATCCTATTCCCAAGGTGGGGAAACATGAGTCTATAGCATTAGGGGTTAGAAAGGAAGCAGTCCTGGAAATGCAATTTATGGCCATCCTCCCGCCCTGAGTCAGTGTGCAGGCCTACAACCGGAAGCCACAGACCTGGGGGCTTTCATGGGCCAAGTCCTTACTGTAAGGGTGAGACGGGAGGTACGGGTGGTTGCGGGTTGTCAACCACCTGTACCCGTCCATCTAAAGTGCTAGGCTGCTGGAACCTCCTTCAGGATTGCTAGATATCAAATATCCGAGGTACCTCAACAGTGTCCAGGGTCAGGTAAGTCACTGATAGTGGCTGTTAGATTGCTTGGGTGCCGGGTACACGGTGAGGTAGATAGTTTAGGCTCCAGCTCATGCAAGACACGTCCTGCTCCCACAAAGCAGTTTGTTAATTGAATATTAATTTTTAATTTAGACAAGTTACCGATAAGTTGATAACGAATTCCCGTTGTTTCTAAATATACAATATTAGGGCATCGTATTTTGTTCTTGTTTAATAATTTGGTATAAACTTTGTTAGTCTTTTCCATTACCTTTTTTGATTTTTAACATTTTCACTCATTTGTTATTTTTTTTACTTTTCTTTGTTTGGTTTATTATTGGTTTCTCTTTGTGTACTTTTCTTTTCTAAATTGCAATGACATATTTGAAATTTGGAAATATTATAACAATTCCCTTTTTTCACGAAACCAATAAGTTGGGTTTAATGGTGTAAATTTTATTTTTGTGTATTGTAATTCTTTTTTTTTTTTTGGTCCTTTCTTACTTTTGTGTCTTTGCTCCAACTAACCCTGGATTAACTGAATTAAGGGAAAGGACTGTATAAAGGAACACTGAGGTGTTAGGAATATATATCTGTATTCCTAACGCAACAGCCCTGTTACCCATTGTCATTCAGGTCCTCCACTAAACTGTTTTACATTTAAAAAAAAAAAAAAAGAATCATTCACCTTTTCTCCAACACCAAGTCTCCCTCAGTGCTGCTGTGACCTCCTTCTTTGTTCACGTCATCCTGGAGGTGTGCTACAGGGTGACGCTGCAATTCAATGCTCCTCATAGAGGCGCATTATGTCACGGTATGTTATGATATGAAACTCAGAAAGCAAAAGTCACGGCTCTAATACTTAGAGGGCTTGGAGGCGTGGTTTGAACATGGAATAATAAACTTGTTGCCAACATGTATTCCTAATGCTGCAAAGTACCCTTATTTTCCCATAAGGAGGCATTGAGAGGCGAGCATGCATGCACAGGATACAGTGTTAATCAAATGTTCTCTAGGAGTTTAGCTTGGTTTCAGAGTTTATCTATGGTTGTACCTGCAGACACGCCCCAATGGCTATCCTTATGACGTTCACTAGAGGTGTGTTAACCATGCAAAGAAAACAATGCCGTTCTTTCAAAAAGGCAATGCTTTCAGTTGCTGGGTTAAACAGACAGGGGCATGGCACCCAGGTCTGGTGAGTGACAGTTTCAATTTAATCTCTTCCCTCTCACAGAAAGCACTACTGATTAAATTATATTAAATCTGTTCACAATGAATATGCATTTTTATGTGTAAGTGGCATTTTGCAAATAGTAACCTTCCTTTTTTTATCAGTTATATAAATGTTCCATCATGTTGTTCAGGAGCACAGTGAATGACTGCTTGCACAAGAACTCAAGCCAAATTACACAATGAGTGCCAAGACATTTATCTGGCTCCCACGATGCCACATGGTACTTGGTCTATTATTGGAGACATACGTTAACCCTCCATCATAGGGCACTAATGCATGTCAATCAAGCTGCATCTTTATATATTCTACATCTGTTTTATAGGGCAGGGCAATTATCATTATTAGCTTTTACATAGCACATTTCATGTTTCTGCAGTGATTTACAATTATTAGAATGATCATTAAATCTTACAGCATTGAATAGAAACATAGACACATAGAATGTGACGGCAGATAAGAACCATTCGGCCCATCTAGTCTGCCCAATTTTCTAAATACTTTCATTAGTCCCTGGCCTTATCTTATAGTTAGGATAGCCTTATGCCTATCCCACGCATGCTTAAACTCCTTTACTGTGTTAACCTCTACCACATTCCTGGTGATGTTTCTACGTTCTCTTTCAATCCATTGCTCCTCAAAAACCTAGGCAGCCAAACACTGTACTGCTTCCATGTTGCTATTATTTCTTTTCAAACTCAGCTATTTTGCCTAAATTTGGCAATAGTTTGCAATCCACTTTCATCTGTTTTTTTCATAGTAAATAAAGCAAAATACAAAAAAAAAGTGTTTTATAAGATTCATATTTTTGTTAATTGTGCAATAAATGTAACAATTTATTGCAATATGTCCATAAAAAATGTTCCCTTTGGATAAAATGTTTTTTAAAAATGTTACATTTTAAAATGCACGCCAAAACATTTATGTTGGTTCCCGTGTTTATTGGCTTTTTAGTGTACCCATGTATGTGTATCAGTGTAATCCAGCTATGAATTTCGACTTGTGCTTTCAGTAATAAATGTTGTCAGTCTCTGTAAGTTAGTAACAAGATCACCATTATTCTGCCACCTGCTCTGTATAAACTATCATGCAGTCTGCCAAAACTGATTATTGTCTTTCATCCCCCGAAGATTCCTCCTCATGTCTCTTCATGTGGATATTTCAGATGAACGATATGAAGCGACTTTCATCTCTCTCAGCTGAACATTTCCTTGCAGCTTGGAATCTGGTCAAGTTAAATCAATGCGGAAGTACTACAGAGTGCATATTCTAGTGGGTATCACTCATCCATTCAATACTTGCGTTGAGGTAGCCCTGAAAATTACGTTTATTGTTATACGATAATTACGTTATATGTTTACGTTTATCGTTTTGCAACAACACAGCACAAGTGCATTCTTATTTATCTATTTTTGTCACATCTACTGTGTGTTAGAAATATGCATTTTTGCTTTTATACTAACATTTCAGACTCTGTGTGAAATATTGCATGATAAAGGACACTGCATACTGCCTCAAGCATATCAGCTCAGCTCTGCTTGCTTTATAATCTAAGAGACTAAATAATACATTAACATGTGTGCAGAAATCTTGATCTTTATATGTTGAAATAAATACATTTTACAATAAAAAAAAAGTTTTGTGATGTGTTTAATGTGCCTAACTTTATAGAGGACAGGAGAATTTTAAACTTGTTCACTTATTTGCTAACAAAAAGTGCCACGCAGGGCCGGCGCTACCTGTTAGGCAGACTAGGCAGCCGCCCATGTCGCCCCTTGGGAAGGGGCACCGCCAGGAGCGCCGGCCCCCCTCATGCTGCAGCCACCCGAGCGCTCTGCAGAGAGCCTCAGGCGACTGCAGCTTTGCCTTGGCTGGTGCGTCCATGAGGGCGCACCGCCCGGGCGCAGCATGAGGAGAGGGGCTAACAGGAGGAAAGTGCTCAGCGCTCCCTCCTGTCACTCCCTCACTGTAGCGTAGCCGAACCCTGTATGGTCCGTGGGTACAGGGAGCATCTGTCTCCTGTACCCGGCCGGACTAACAGGAAGTGCACAACAGAGGTAGGGGAGGGGGGAGAAAGAAATTGACAGGGAGGGGAAAAGAAATTGACAAGCGGGGGAATAAATTGACAGGAGGAGAAAAATTGACAGGTAAGGGGAGAAAGAAATTGACAGGAGAGGGGAGAAAGAAATTGACAGGGGGGAGAAATAAATTGACAAAGGGGAGAAATAAAGTGAGGGGAGAAATAAATTGACAGGGAGGGAAAAGAAATGCGACAGAGGGAATAAATTGACAGGGAAGAAAAATTGACAGGGGAGAAAAAGAAAGTGGGGAAAAGAAAATAGAGGGAGGAGAAATAAATTGGCAGGGAGGGGGTAGAAAGAAATTGACAGGGAGGGGGAGAAAGAAATTGACGGGGGAGGGAGGAGGAATGAGAGTGGGGAGGGGGAGGGGAGAAGAGAGTGACAACGGGGGGAGAAGAGAGTGACAAGGGAGGGGGGAGAAGAGAGGGAGAGGGGGGAGAAGAGAGTGACAAGAGAGAGGGGAGAGATTCACATCCATCACACAATCACACACAATGCACCCCTTACACACAAAGACAATACACCCCTTGCACACAGAAAAACACACAATGCATTACACACACAGTGCATTACACACACAGACACACATACACAAGCAATGCAACCCTTACACACAATTCATCTCTTACACACACAGAAACACACAATGCATTCCTTACACACACTCAATGCACCCCTTACACACACTCAGTTTATCCCTTACAGATGCGCACACTGCATCCCGTACATACACAGAAACACACCTTGCAGCCCTTACACATACAAACACAGATTCACACAATGCATTCCTTACACACATATCAGGACATCCCCTACACACTCCACATTGACATCCTCACTTTTAGCACAAACTAATAAACTAATGAAAAGTATCTATTGGTTGTGCTAAAAGATTTTCAGAATGTCTTTTCTTTCTTTATATTTTATCTTACATACTTTGTCAACCAAGGCCGGCAGGGCCGCCATCAGGGCATGACAACCATAACGGTTGTCATGGGCCCGGCGGTCCTGGGGAGCCCGGACTGCTCAGGTCGTCCCGGGCCCCTGCAACCCAATATGTACCCGCTGTGGCCAGCCTCTTCTCCTGGGGGGCCCAGCAGCCGGTCACCTCAGGGCCCCCCGAGGCTAGCCCTGGTGTCACCCGGCGGGAGCACGAGGGAGCACTCACCCTGGCTGAGTGCTTCCTCTTCAGCTCCTTCGGGCACCGCACTGATGCCGGAGCCGGAAGTTGACGTCATCTTCCAGCTCCGGTATCAGTACGCGGCACACGAGGGAGCTGAACAGGAAGCACTCAGCCAGGGAGAGTGCTCCTTCGCGCACCCACCAGCAGGACCGGCCACCGGGTGACACCACTGGACCCCAGGGAATCCCCTCAGCACTCCCAAAGGTAGGGAGGCTGGGGGGATGAAATTTTAAAAAAGTGTGTGTGTGAGTGTGTTAGTGTGTGTGTGACTGTGTCAGTGTGTGTGTGTGTTAGTGTGTGTGTGTTAGTGTGTGTGTTAGAGTGTGTGTTAGTGTGTGTGTGTGTGTGTGTTAGTGTGTGTTAACACTCACACTAACACACACACTCACACACACTCACACACACACTAGCACACACACACACACACTAAGACTTTGCCTTGAGTCTCAGAAACTCAAGGCGAAAGAGAAATACAGAGACAACGTATTTCTCTACTTTACTTCTGTATGTCGCTTGACTGGTTGGAATTTCAGTGAAATGTTAACACCATTAAAATTAGTAATTCATAAAGATTCTATCTATGAAATACCAATTTTCGGGTGGGGGGGTTACAGTACCACTTTAAGTAGTTATCTCTTACAATACTGTACACATGCATGCATACGTCACTGCTAGATAGAATTCTCAACGCGCATGCATGCATACAGAACTGCATGCGCATGCATGCATACAGAACTGCATGTGTAGAGAGCATTTTGCAATTAGAACATAGACGAACACTTACCAAAATGAAATAAAATATGTTGGAAATACGTACAATATATGTTACTCAAGCTCCAATAAGTCTAGACCCTGACAAGACCAACAACAAATAATATGTGTAAAAGAATTCCCAACCTTATAGCTAGAAGCCTTCAAGGTGAAATGTTGGTGGTTTTTTATTTTAGGTGACAGTATTTTTCCAGTCCTCTCGTCACAGTTTGTTTTAGTTTTGGTTAGTATTGATTAATTTGGATTCTTGTAGATTTACTTATGTGAAATGTTGGATAGTTATACACACAATACATAATTGATAGTGATGTCAATGCCTTGTTTCTCTATGTATGTATAGATATTGATGGTCTATGCATGCATTATGCCTATTTACTTGCATAACATTCAGTTTTTGGTATTTGTAATTATGGTGTTAATTAATAAGTTTTTTGTTTTTTGTAGATGTGTTCACCTAATTATTTTATACTTATAAGCAGAGAGAACTGCCAGACTGAAATTGTCTGTTATTATAGCCTCAGAAAAGGTTACTGACTCATTTTCTATTTCTAGGTATACAAAAACAAATGACTAATCGAATGAATAGAGTTACAGACCTTGTTACTTGAAAATGGTTAAAATTTAACATCACTCAGTACTTCGAGGAGATATCCAATCAGTATGTGAGAAAAGAAAGCTAATAGTTAAATGAGAGGTGGGTTTAATTATTCTGCATTCTAAAAGTGCATTTTATTTCCTCTGAAGTACTTCTAGTGCAATAATGGTAAGTAAAATAAATAAAGTAAAACTACATCAGCTGATATTCTTGGCACACAATTTGAGTATAAACAGTTTAATTGTCATGTATTTTGCAGTATGAAATCTAGTCCACTCACTCTCATTTATACTCTAGTGATGACTACTACCCTAAAAGAAAATGTTTTTCTCTGCCAGAACTAGTCACGGATAAAATGAATGTACAGGTGATGAAAATGTCACCTGCTTTCAAACAGTTAAGGAAGTTTCATTGGGTCATATGATTCCTACAGTCATGAAAGGGGGAGGAGTAAATGGAAATGTATTATAAGGGGGGAAATGTAATAATAAATGAGAGAATTACAACATGTTAACAGGAACAATAGGTTAATGAGGACCCTGCTCAAATGAGCTTATTTATCTATTTTTGTCACATCTACTGTGGGTTAGAAATATGCATTTTTGCTTTTATACTAACATTTCAGACTCTGTGTGAAATATTGCAAGATAAAGGACACTGCATACTGCCTCAAGCATATAAATAATAATTGTGTAAATTTACATCATGTTAATTTTTAATTTTTTCTGCAAAATTGCAAAGCAATCTATACACAAAATTGCTGTGCTATATGTTTATATGCTAACTATGCATCCTGTGCTTCAACTAAATGTTATGCTGATATTTTTGGATCAAAAGGTGTTCGGTGTAGAAGGGGTTGAAGAGAAACATAATCATTCACACAGGGTTGACCTCATTTAATTATTAATCATCATTCATTAATCCTGCGAAAGACGAGATAGAAAAATAGTGTCTCACAGTTCTTGTTCGATATAGTCAATATGCACAACAAGAGTGTGAAAATAATTCAGGAAAAAGAAAAGAAAGATTAGAGAGAGGATGAAGAAAAGGTACATAGAGGGAGTTAGGAAATAGACCCCAGACTTGAAAGTTATGGTTGAAAAATATATATTATAATATCAACAAAGGATATTTATATATATTTTTTTTAAATCCACCACATTGGTTCATCTTTACCATGCCAACATAGTGCAGATAATTTGTCTTTGCTTTGACCTATCAGTGGTGAGAAGTTTGTAGAATGTTAGCTAAATAGTGGTAAGTGTTATTCATTAGAACAACGACATTAGGATTTGGGAGTTAGGGATAAGAATGTGAGTCATTGATGTTAGACCTTAGAGTAATGTTTACAAGTGGAGGTTGTCTCATAGGGGCAGGTGGGGCGACAGCTTTCCATTTCTTGTTGCAAAAACAATACAATTTTATGGACTGCTGATAAGTGTGTGTTGGAAAAAAAATAATGTGCCTTTCTTGATTATATCTGCAGTTTTCATATTCCCTGTATTAATACATGGAGATGCAGCTGATAGGGAATATCCTCTAATGGGGTTAAGAATTCAACAAGCTGTGTGGGCATAAATGATGATTGTGATGGTGGTCACCATCACTGGGGGCTGAAGACAGAAACTTTATGTAGGTTCCCACATTACTCCTATGTTTTAGTCACCCTGTGTCCATAATATGTACAGGGTGTGTAATGTATTTGTCTGTTAGTTATTCTCCTCCCCCCACCCTTTCCTTGTTGTTTTCCCAGAAGGGCACTGTCCCATTGTTTCAGAGACCCCTTTTGTCTGTTGTACAGTATTATAGGTGTTTTTAGGAGTTTTCTTCTACTATGGGAGATAATTGTGTTAGCGTGTCTGTATGTATAAAAGGTAAAACAGAATGGAAGATAATTAGTTTATTATACAATAGCTATTGTGTAATATGTCTTGGTGTCAGGCAGATAATTCAGTTATGGAATATTAAGTCCTAGACACCAAGACTCCAGGGAGTGACTTGTATTGTTTTGTTTGACGACCCCCTGTTGTGATTACTCCTATATATACCTGTGTTTTGTTCAATCAAGTTCAGTTCTTATTCACCCTTCACTAAGTCACGGCTAGTACACTCTGCAGGAGAGCTTGATCACTTTGGAACTATAGCATAATACCCTGCTCCATGGTGGGAAAGTTCTGCATAGACCCCAGTCAAGCTGCGGCGACTCAGGTGTCCCCGTTACAGCTAGGAATCGAGCTTGGCGGAGGTACCCAGCTGGGGGACCAGACAGTCTGTCACAATGGTTACGTTTAGAAGTTAGGATTACGTGGTTGACATTAGGATTACCAGTTAGTAATGATTAAACGTTTTAGTAAAATTTTTTTAGAGTTATGGAAAAGGATGGAGACCCTAGGGTTACTTAATTCAAATGAAATAATTCCCACCAATCACATCAACAGCTAAATGTCATCAGTGATGTCCAGATGAAAATGTATTCCTGTTTTAGGATACATACCAACATGAGAATTAGTGTATCACTGCTGTTTGATGATATTATTATTATTATTATTATTATTGCCATTTATATAGCGCCAACAGATTCTGTAGCGCTTTACAATATTTTGAGAGAGGGGGGATGTAACAATAAATAGGACTATTACAAGAAAACTTACAGGAACAATAGGTTGAAGAGGACCCTGCTCAAACGAGCTTACAGACTATAGGAGGTGGGGTATTAGAAACATTAGGACAGGAAATATCCCATAGGAGAGAGCAGGAGACAGGTATGTAAGGTATAGATTACTCTGGGAAACCATACGCTTTCCTGAAGAGATGAGTTTTAAGGCCCTTCTTAAATGATTGAAGACTAGGGGAGAGTCTGATGGCAGTAGGCAAGCTATTCCATAGGAGAGGAGCCGCCCGCGAGAGGTCCTGCAAGCGCGAGTTGGCCGTACGGGTGCGAGCAGCGGTCAGGAGGTGGTCACGGGCAGAGCGGAGGGTACGAGGAGGGGCATATCTATGGATTAGTGAAGAGATATAAGAGGTGCTAGAATTGTTCAGTGCTTTAAATGTATGGGTTAGCACTTTGAATTGACTCCTATAGCATACAGGGAGCCAATGTAAGGACTGGCAGAGGGGTGAGGTGTGAGAGGACCGACTAGAGAGGAAAATCAGTCTAGCTGCAGCATTCATTACAGACTGTAGCGGGGCAATACGGCTTTTGGGGAGACCAATCAGGAGCGGGTTACAGTAATCCATGCAGGAAATTACTAGAGCATGGACAAGCTCCTTGGTAGCATCTTGCATAAGAAAGGGGCGGATGCTGGCTATGTTTTTGAGTTGGAACCTACAGGACTTGGCAACAAACTGGATGTGAGACTCAAAGGTGAGACCAGAGTCAAATATGACGCCAAGACAGCGTGCTTGCAGGGATGGACTTATGTGGATATCACTGACTTGAAGGGAGAGCGAGAGAGGAGGATATCTGTATTCACACTTTTAAAATCCACGTGGGTACTGAATATTTCTCACTGTCAAAGAGCTAACAAACCAAACAAGGACAATTCAATACATTCTGCAGTTGCTGAAAAAGGAGGTAGATTAGTTTTATTGATGAAGCTGATCCTTATGATCAATATGTCTTCGCATACTTTGTACTATTTCTTTGAAGGTACCACCTCTGTAGCAGAGATGCAATATTACCCAGGTTATCTCCGCTTATAATCCAAGTGGGACTCAGGAACAAGTAAATAGTAAATCCACAGGCAAGGCTTCCAGCAGGTAAAATACAGCAATATCCCAACAGCAATCCCAATAACTGGACGACACACAGTTTCAGGAGCAGAACTCAAAGCCTTTAATCACAGTCTCCTTATAAAGCATGCTCCCATGCAAGGGAGGGATTTACAGTAATTATTACAGTAGCCAATCCTGTCCTGGTAACCTCCCACACATCTCCTCCCCTCAGCCAGCATCATAATCCCCTTATCCAGCACACCAATTCCCCCCGTTTCTGGATGTACCCCTAAACGTAGGGGTACCTCTTTAAATCCT